ACTGACTGTGTAGTGCCACCTGGACAGTCATTGCTGGCTGTGTAGTGCCACCTGGACATTCTTTGCTGGCTGTGTAGTGCCACCTGGACATTCTTTGCTGGCTGAGTAGTGCCACCTGGACAGTCATTGCTGGCTGTGTAGCACCACCTGGACAGCCACTACTGACTGTGTAGTGCCACCTGGACATTCATTGCTGCCTGTGTAGTGCCACCTGGACAGTCATTACTGGCTTTTAAGTGCCACCTGGACTTTCTTTGCTGGCTGCGTAGTGCCACCTGGACAGTCATTGCTGGCTGTGTAGTGCCACCTGGACAGTCATTGCTGGCTGTGTAGTGCCACCTGGACAGTCATTGCTGGCTGTTAGTGCCACCTGGACAGTCATTGTTGGCTGTTTAGCGCCACCTGGACAGTCATTGCTGACTGTGTAGAGTGCAACATGGACATCCACTGCTGGATGTTTAGTGCCATCTTGACAGTCATTGCTGGCTGTGTAGTGCCATCTTGACAGTCATTGCTGGCTGTGTAGTGCCATCTTGACAGTCATTGCTGACTGTGTAGTGCCACCTGGACAGTCATTGCTGACTGTGTAGTGCAACATGGACAGCAACTACTGACTGTGTAGTGCCACCTGGACATCCACTGCTGGATGTTTAGTGCCACTTGGACAGTCACTGCTGGCAGTCATTGAAGCAGTAATTACTCTGTAAAATTCTTTGCACAAAAACACTGACTTACTATACAAAAACTACATCATTCATTTGACTCCCATCAAATTCCTACCATAAAGATATTCATGTTATTAAGATCAAATTCTGTGCACACACTTTGAATGTAGAGTGATGCTTGACATTGCAAGACTCAAAGTGTGTGTCAAGTGTCAACCCAGCAAGAACAACACAGTTGAACTCTGGTGACCATGCCCTTTGTTATATAATATTATTCCCTTTATCATAGTTTATTTCAATATGAATATGCATTGTCATAATTAATTTTGAATATAACTAGTTTTGGGGTTGAAACAACAGTGAGGAATCAGTCTACCAAAGGTCCTGATGTAAATATCTTACAAAAACATTGGTGCCTAATTTGTTTAATTATTTTAAGGGACATAAATTCCAGCTTTATTCAAAGTAATTCAGATATTTTAGTATACAAAGGAATGCCTCATCTGAGAAAAAAAGTGCTGCATTTAGACGTGAATAGATTCATAAAACATGCAAGTAAACAAGCCATGCATGGCACAGTCCCTTTTAGTTATCAAATTTAAGATATATAGTTTTGTTTATAGTAATATAGCTGGAATATAAACATGTCAGAAATATGATTATGATGATTGTTTAACATTTAAATGATTGACATTTGTATCTGATCGTCAAAGGAGTATTGAGAGATATTGGAACAGCATTAATTAAAACAAAATCAGCCATTTTGAGAACATGTATAATGAATATATCTAATTTGAACATAGTCAGTCAAAGCATGTCAGAGATAAGGCTCTAGAAGCCCATTTATTAAAACAAAATTGCCACGAGTCAGCCATTCTGAATCCGATCTAAAAAATAAAATAACGTGCATCAGGAACTCGTTATGTCCAATGTACATGTATGTACCAAATCCATCCATAAATGCCAGAAATGCTTGATATTTGATGATTTTTTAGCACAAAAATGGCCATATCTGTATATCTATGACATAATGTATAATGAATATTTAAAATTTGAACATAATCAGTCACAGCAAGTCAGAGAGATATGGCACTCGAACCACATTTATTAAAACAAAATGGCCGCTAGTCGGCCATTTTGAATCTTATCTGAAAACAAATTGATGCACATCAAAGTCCTATAATGTCGAACATATAGTACTCATTCCGCCCAACCTCCCGCTTTTATCGCTTTTTTTCCCCCGACCACTTATCGCTTAATTTCAGATCGCTTGCTGCTTTCCGGCAAAAACTGACCACTTTTTTTCCTCACGCTCGCTTGCTTTTGTTCGCTTGCTCTTGTTCTCTCGCTTTTGTTCGCTCTTGTTATGGCTGGCTTCAGAAACATTGTCCGTTTGCCAACCGACCGCCGGAGTAATGATGATCATACATTGTATGTATAAACTTACGTTTTTATTCGTAATAAATTTAGGTTTTAATGACGATTCAAAATACAACGCGTATTGCTTCTCTGTATTGGGAAGGGGGACAAAGACGCCTTCAAATCACTTGACACATTGTAACGTTTGCTATGCAAGTCTAACTGTGACCTGTATTTACATATTTACGTCCTTGTGTGCGTAGTTCAAGCAGCTATACAACTGGCCAATCAATCATGATATGTATTGAGTAGTAATATTTGTGTGTTCTGTGTGTTTCTGTCTGTGATTTTGACTAAATTTATCCGAGTGAAGCTCAAAATAATTTGACACTTTGTTATTTACGAAGGCAACTCACACTATAACCCTTAATAAATTTGCATAAGTAATACGAATGGTGTAGTTCAGAAAATCTATCGGGTTAACTTTTGCTCATGTCTGGGTGCGCAAAACAAAACTGCACATATAATCATCGCAAAGCTGAATTTCTACAAATCAACTGGACTTAAACTACTAGTATAATGACTGTGACAATTAATCGCTTGTCTGAGTACATGCGACGATGAATTACTGGATTGGCAGCAGCTGGACGAAAAATGAAGGAGATCTCGGAACAGTTAATTGTTGAGGAAAACATAAAACAAAACAAACTCAGCCAGTGATACATTTCGAAAACAAAAATACAAAATACACTCAATCAGAGGTGCCGACCTCGCGCGCTGGAAATAAATAAAACGTGTTGTGACACAGTCTCCCCAAACTCTTTCACTCGCACAATATAATTATGTTATTTCCCAAAGCACTTATATTTAATACATTGACGAAAACACCAAAAGAAAAATGTAAATCAGGCTTGTAATTACTAGTAACTCAACTCGAACACAATGTTGATCACTGTAAAAGTGGATAAATTCGAACCATCATCATCAAAAATAAACTTGATGTTTAGAAAAACAAAAACAACAACATATTAGAGTGCAAAAAAAGTTAGCAGCAAAGAACGAGAAACGCATGTAGGAAAGCGACGAGTGAACTCGAAGAAAATTATGCTAATGTGAGAACAAGCTATATACCTTGCGGAGCACTCGCTAAAACATCGAGAAAATGTGCCATTTCAAAGGGCACCCTTACAAATAATGTCTGCGATTGTGTGAACATGATAACGTGCAAACAAGGAACAGACACGAAGGTCAAAACATAAATCCCCGTTTTCGGACTGCGTTCGAACGGGGACTAATAATGCTAATAGTGGAATTTTTTACAAAAATAACAGAAATATTCAATAAAATTAGAATCAAAGAGAGCTTAAAAACAACTCCAGCATGTTGAGAGAATAACATAACATGATATTTGCAATTATCTTAATTCGTAATACATGTATATACCAAGTTTTGTTGAAATATGTTGAATGGTTCTTGAAATAGCACCCATAGCTAGAATTTCACTAGCTGCAAATTAGATAATTTGCATAAATTTCCACCAAAAACTAAATATATCTGGAAACTGCCCCAACACATCTATGCACCAATTTTTATTAAAACATATTAAATGGTTCTCAAGATATCACCAAATAGCCTAAATATTGGTATGTAAATTATGCAATTTGCAGAACTTTCCACCAAAATCAATCATGTCTATACACATTTAAATATGTTGAGTAGTTATGTTCTCATTACAATCACAATAGACCAATCAAAGAAAACTTAGAACTCACATGTGCTATGTGAGAATGAGAAACAGTTGACATTGCAAATAGTGGTTAGTTGAAATTTCATTTTTAACCAAAAATGACAAAAATATTTGCCAA